CCGAGCAGGCTCTCGATCATGTCCAAGGCCGATGATCTCTAGATCTGGTTCAGATCTCTAGATCTCGAAGCAGGTTCGTTAAATCACCAAAAAAAATCAAAAAAATCGAAAACCTTTAGAATCTATGAGTCTCTTTGTCCTCGATCGTTTCAAAATGAGGCCGGATCTGAAGGAAGAGAACCCTGTACACTGCGGAGATCTTTTTTTATTTTTTTTTAAATTTTTACTTTTGCCTTTTTTGTATGGTGACCGGAGTTCTGGGCGGAGATTTGACAACCGTCCATTTGTACATAGTCATTTTTGGCAAAGACTCTTTTGACGATGACTGATGATGAAGCTGCAGAATTGGACTGAAATCGAACATCACAGACTAAACTAAAACTATATTAATTAATTGAACAGATTAATTAAGCGTAAACTGGTTTTGCGTTTGACTTGATTCTGTGATTTGTGATGGAATTGATTTGTTCATCGTGGTTGCAGTTTCGGTATATGATTACTTCCGTTCCGTTATAATTCTCCGTCACCGTCGTTTGGTCCGTGTGCTACGCCATTCGTTTACCTGTTGTATTTTCCGTTTGAGGTAATTCGTTCCGTTAGTTATACGTATTATTCATATTTTATTTTATTTGTTATTATCTTTTATATATTTATTAATTTGTTTTTTTTTTGTTTATTTCATTTGTTTTGCAGGAATTTTGGTGCTTTCCTTCGGCTGCAAGAAAACGAACATTTTAATGGCCTCATATGCGGATGACTTTGGACCTACTGGAAAAGAAAAGTACTAATAATGGCCATTAAAATTTTATATTAATAAAACAAAAAAACAAAAGTAAAAAAGTCTACAAATCGTAATGTTTTGCAATTAAAAATTATGTAGTAAAATGTGAATTATTATTCAGAGTAAATACTAAGAAATGTAATAAAAATTAAGTTCAATAAAAAGCTTGGTTGTAAATAGTTAGTAAGAACATTATAAAATGATCGATGTGATTCATCTCAGAAAATTATGCTAAAGACTTTGATGATGATGTATTAAAAATGATTAAAAAGGGCAATTCAAAAAAAAAAGAAAAAAAAGAACTCGAATTCGGTGAAAGTGGGCGCTACTACTTTCTCGTGCGAAAGGGGACAGCACGAAGAAAAGGAAGAAGACTACAGCTGTACGCAATTAATTGTGCCCGGACCACTGATTCCTCCAGCCCATAATAACCCGTTCAATTCAAAAATCAAGCGAGTACCAAACAATTAAACTATTTTAATTATTAAAATACGCGATAAAATCAGAGGATACAGCTGGCAGATCAAAACAAACTTATTCTGAGCATAGGAAGCGGAGAACAATCAAAGGCTTGTTAAAAAAAAAGAGCTTTGCTACAGGGACCCAAAATATGGGACCAATAAAGGGGACAAGTGAGGTGTCCCCTCCTATTGGATAATGAGTTGGCCATCATTAATGATGGCCAATTCATTATCCAATAAGAGGGGGACACCTCACTTGTCCCTTTTATTGGTCCCATATTTTGGGTCCTTAAAGAATTTTAAAAAAAAAAAATCTGACGACATTGAATCGTGGACCCTCTTCCGATCACCGGGGCGGGGCCGAAAATATTTGGGAGGGTGGCTGGTTTTCGTCACAATTTGCAGAGATGATTCCATTTGAACTTTGGAAGGCGGGGGAAGCAGAGCAAGAAAATGAAAAGCTTGGAACCTGGCGTCGCTTTCAAAATGTCAATTGTGGCTGAGACGTTCACATTGGTTGTCTGGATCAGGAAATCAAGGGTTAATTGCCGACAGCTACCCCCACGAATAAAATTTTGGCAGACCCGTGTAGTTTTGTTGGCTTAAGGGGATGTTTGTTTCAAAAAAAATTTTTGGCATTTGGGTGAGTTTTCAAATTCTAAGATCAAAAAGTGGGTTTTTTTTTGGGTTTTAGAATTCCACAAAACTTGTTTATTTCAAAACAACTTTTAGAATATCAAGTCCCCAAATAATAAAAAAGTATTATATTTAAGGATTTGTGAAATCTTCTTTTTTGGGTGGGATGTGGGGTGTATTTCAAAAGTATTAGACAAATTAAGGATTTTAAATTTCAGAAAATTTGAAACAAACAAAAATATTACAAATTATAGTATTTCAAATTTCAAAATATTATTAAAACAAATAAAGTTTTAGGAATCCCAATTCATAACAAATTACCTATGGATTTTAAATCCTATAGTAAAATCTATATATCCTAAAATTATAGGATCTGAAACAAACACCCCCTGAGATAGACCCCCGTACTATTTTCACGAGGATTGATAGATCCACTAATAAGTGAATAGCTTTACTTTTAAGAGTGTTGATTAAAAAAATAAACTCAAGAAGCCTAGCATGCATTCTGATACGCATATCCCTCTTGATTGAGAAAGCCTTAAGGAACACTCGCCTAAATTTAAGGGTGGTGGGTATGAGGTTTAGTTATCGGTTGGTTAGGATTAGACTGGAGTTGGTTTTAAGTTCACGGGACACATGGCGAACGACTGAAGCGAGTGACAGCGGCGCTCGCTCTGTGGGCGTGTTGCTGGTAGTCCTTACCTGATTTTTGTAGAAAGCTTATATAAACATAGAAATATTTTCCCATCTAATTTTATAAGATAATAATAATTACGGTGTTAAAGTTTAGGGGTTTTTTGTTTTTTGGCCCAGAAGTTTACCCTAGTTTATCTTTAAACCCAACTGATTTATTTTGTATCATTGAACCCACTTATATTTATGTATTTATCTCTAGCCTAACTTCTAAAATACAATACATACATATGTGAGCCCACTTTAAATTAAAAAAAAAATCCGATTATATATATATATATGTGTGTGTGTGTGTGTGTGTGTGTTTTTCCCCTTAAAAAAAATTCCAATTATACCTTTCTCCACCACCCTCTCTCGCAATTAATTTTCCTCTCTCTTCCATTATTCTCTTTTTTCATTCTTTCACTCTTATGAATCCATCAATTAATTTTTGTTGATGTCCGAGATCACACAGTCGATTGAAGTTACAAAGTCGTTGAGTTGTCGAGGGGTTGAGTCGTCGACGGGGGCCGCTTCCTACTTCGACTTTATGCCTGGTTCTTAGAGCTCGAGACAAACGAAAGACCTACAAGCGCAAGAATCGTAAGAGGACGAGGCTTGTTTCCCCCGTGGTACCTTCGACGATCAAGTTAGGTGGTGAACTTGGGTGGGGGTGAACGAAGAATAGTGTGTTCTTCTTTCTGTATAGTATGTGCTTTATAGGGGGTTTTAGATTGCGAAAGATCAAACCTCTTTTTATGGCGAATAGCGTCTGTATTTATAAAGGATGCCAATGGCAGATTAGTCACTTCTGTTAAACCCTAGAGATGGGGTGATTAGGGTCTTATGCTAATCTAATCCGATTTTATACCAATTAAAACTTACTAAAGAATTATTCTTACAAGATAGATATACAATATGATATGAGCAAAAATATAAAGAGATATATCCTAGCAATAAGATATACTATGAGATATATGCAAGGATATACAAACTAACACAAGGGTGAAATAAACACACAATATGATCACGGAGTTCGGACCTTCCGTCCTACGTCTCCGCTCCCCACTCCTGGGGAGAAATCCACTAGCACAACCGGGTTTTTTACGTTCATCCGAATAACGTTTACACCTCACACTTGGTTTTTTAGCTAACCGAAAACTTTACAATCAACACTCTTGCAATCCCACTCTACATCCTCTCAAGTGTTAGTCACAGACGTGTCTCCCTCAAGTGTTAGGAATTACAACCTCTCTCTAGGTTTGTTACCTACCCCACTCCTCTTAGGACGATCCCTGACTCACATCACATACTTCTCTCGGTGTATAAGTATATTACAAGGTGAACCTCACAATAAGCATAATACAACAAATGATTGTTCTCTAATATGGATGAGAACACAATGAAAGTTCACACTCAATTGTTATAACTCTCACCAACCCAAATATACTATGTATGAAAATACGATAAGATCATGTGGGTGTGTGTAACAATGAGAATAAATAAAATCTAACTCAAGAAGAACTAGCAATAAAATTGATTAAAATCTAACTCAAGAAGAACTAGCAATAAAATTGATATGAAATACAATAGTAAAAATGCTAGGAAATTGAGTTAAGGAAACTTCTCTATAAACAATAAAATTGATATGAAATACAATAGTAAAAATGCTAGGAAATTGAGTTAAGGAAACTTCTCTATAAACATAAAGAGATGATGATGAGATATTGAAGATGAACTCCTCAACAATTGATGTAAGCTCCTCTTTGTAAAAGCAAACTCCAAACTTAAAACAAACTAAACAAACTTAAACTTTTATTAAACATTGTTTAAAAACTTCTTGGATTATTTAAAGAATGAGAGCAATGGGGTATATATAGCCTCCTAAAATCTCAGCCAAAACCCCCAAAGGAAAAGACCAAAAAGCCCAAGAATCAGAAATCTGATTCTGTACCAAAAATAGCCGTTGGGCGATCGTCGGTCGACCGTGGAAAACTCGCGGTCGATCGCGAGCAATAAAAAGGCAAATCTGGGCTCTGGAAAAACATCCGGTCGACCGTGACGGTCGACCATAAAACTCTCTGGACTTCATCCTGTCGACCTTCATGATCGACCACGAGGCATCAAAAAAGAATTCTGAGTCTCTGGACTCAAGGCGGTCGACCGTGGTGGTCGACCGCAAACAGATATATGAAAAATGATAGGTTTGAAACAATTTTATGATTTTAAAACCCTGTTTAAAAATATCAAACAGATCTCTCGAACTCCACTCTTCATGCACAGGAGATCGCCGAGATCTAGCTAAACCTCTCTAAAATTCGTGGCTATGCACTTGAGAAACCGGCAGAACCTCACCCTCTTGATCTTCCGTCCTTGAGAAATGAGCATTCGAGCTTGTATTTATAAGCCTCGGAAGCCGGTATTTGGATAAGAACGAGGGATTCCTCCTTATCTTCAGTTAAGAACTGATTAACCACAATATCAGATCAGTTGGAACGTCCAGGAACCAACAAATCCCGCGAGAATCCGTCAAAACCGAAAAAATCACATTTTAGATCAGATCTGGCCGAACAGTCACCCGGTGGGTCTGACACCGATCGAAACCCTAGCCTTAAAACAAAAGGGAAAACACGACAAGATTTTGGTTGATTTATGGAGGTACAATACTAAAAATCAATTCTTTTGTATTTATTTAATTTTTTATGGCTTTCATTTATCGATTTCCTTCTTCCTTTGACATCAGATTTGTCTAAGTTTTGGTATTTTGACCCTCATTTCCCACTACGATTTGCACAAACAACTTCAAATCCGTAGTTGTTGCTTGGCAGGTGTAGATATTGGAGATTATCTACTACGGTTCTCTGCTTTCTGCCACTAGGAAGGTAAAAAATTTTAATGGTGATTATTCTGTGTATTTTTCCAGTCTGCATGTCATGTATTGGAGGATCTATTTCAGTTTATACAATTTTATTTGGTTGTTTTTTTAGATTTTGGTATGTAGACATCTATTTATTATTTGAAAATTTTGATTGTAGAAATTATTAATAGCTTATCTAACTTGTCTTAATTTGATATGTATAATCCTTGCAACTTATATCTCATAGAAATTATTAATAGTATGAGATTGTATCTTATCTAACTTGTTCTCATATGATGCGTTGGAGAAATCAATTTTGCAACTTATATCTCCCAAAATAAAGCAAGCGTAGATGCTAAATACGATATTGTAAGAGGATCAAGGTGAATGATTTCACCTTGATGGATTGAGAGTATCCTACATATTTCTAGTGTGACGTTTGTATTTTGATAAAATAGTTTGATCATCTGCAGATAGGAGAATTAAACAAACATTTCATAAATAATTATGATAATTTTCCTAAAAGATTTTGATCATTTGCATTTAATGTTGGTATTTGCTTTAATATGGTATTTGCATTTAATGTTGGCACAGCTTGGCCTTTGTTTCAGTTGTGTTTTTTTTTTTAGTTTGCCATTTTCCTTGGTTGCAGACTCTTGTTGCTTGGCCATTGGACCCTAAATTGTTGTGTTGGCCTTTGGTCAGCCTGGATTTGGTGTGTGGTTGGTCTTTGGCTTTTGGTTGTGTTGGCCTTTGGTCTTTGGTTGTGTTGGCCTGTGGTTGGTCTTTGGCACAGCTTGGCCTTTGTTTCCGTTGTGTTTTTTGTGGTTTCAGTTTGTGCTTTCCTTGGTTGCAGCCTCTTGTTGCTTGACCCTTGGACCCTAAATTCTTGTGTTGGCCTTTGGTTGGCCTTTGGTCAGCCTAGATTTGGTGTGTGCTGTTTTCATTTGGGCTTTTTT